ATTAATATTAAATATTTATCATAAATATTCTGTGCTGTCTAGGTTCTTTCAGACTTGATTTTTTTCTAAAACAAACAATGCGAAAATTATCCCCGTAAAATGTTTATGAATGTTCAGACCTGTTTTGCATACATTTATATACATACATTCGTGCATGAAAAATTTTTTACCGAGTATGACGCATGTATCACTAACTTTAAGGCATCCATACACTAAAAAAAATGCATGTAATTTTACATAGAAACATGTATATGACTGGAAAATTATCTAAATTACATAAATATGCTTGGAAGTTTATTGGAAATTGTAAATTCCCAATCATATTTAGGCAATTTTCCAGTCATGAACATGTAATAGCTGCGTTCAGCAGACTCAACAGTTTTGCAACCGTTTTATGATTGTCTGCTGAGATAGGACCATTCTTCTAGATCTAAAAGTATGATCCAATCAGCGCGAAGGAAACTTCCAACAGTTGCAAAACAAACGTTCTGCTGAACGCAGCCAATTTTTATGTAAAATTACATGCATTTTTTTCAGTGTTACCTTTAAAAGAAATTTTGATACAAAATATAAATGTCTCTTATTATAGTAAAAACATTCTTTAATGAACAAAGGTTATAACGTTTGTTATTGAATATGATTAAAGATTATTGTTTGATATTTAATAAATGTGAAAGTCGACTTTAATGTTATACAAATAAGTTACATAATATGATGAAGTTGAATAACTGTACTAAAATTATATTTATTGTTCACCTTCTGCGTTTAATCTAACTTACTTATAAATTTCGTCGCAGCTCTCCGGAAGAGAAGGCTCTCTTTGCTTAGAAATTGATTGTCAACAGCAACGCTTGCCTACATTACATTTACCGCCAATGATATATGGATCCATATATTCGTTCGGTTTTTGAGGGCTAAAATGAAACAAGTTTTTTTCATATAAAGGATGAATTTTAATCAATGATATATTCTCCGTTTTTGTTGATGACCTCTTGCCATCTTTCCAACAATTTCATTATTCCGCTCTCATAGAAGGTCTGGGGCTTAGAGGCAAAAAACCGGTCGAGGTACGTTTTCACAGCTGTCTGATCAGCGAACGATTTCCTGTTGAGGAAGTTTTGCAGGGACCGGAACAAGTGGTAGTCGGATGGCGCAAGATCTGGTGAATACGGTGGGTGGGGCAAAACATCCCAGCCAAGTTGCACTAATTTTTGCTGAGTGATTATTGCGGTATGAGATCTGGCATTGTCATGGTGGAATATGACACCTTTGCGATTGACCAGTTCTGGACGTTTCTGTCGCAATGCTTGATTCAATTTCGTTAGCTACATGCAGTGGACCTTCGAATCGATCGTTTTTCCCTAAGGAAGCAGCTCGTAAAACAGCACACCACCGATGATCCCACCATATGGATAGCAAAATCTTCTTCGGATGCAGGCCGGCCTTCGAGGTGGCATTCGGCGGCTCGTCAGCTGTTCCCCACGATCTCTTGCGCACTATGTTGTTGTAGGTGATCCACTTTTCGTCGCCAGTCACTATTCGTTTGAGAAACGGATCGCTTTCGTGCCGCTTCAGAAGTGAATTGCAGATGGATATGCGGTTGGCCAGGTTCTCCTCGGTCAGCTTGTGCGGCACCCAAACATCGAGGCGGGACACGTAGCCAAGCTGTTGCAAATGCCTTTGTACGGTTCCATAACCTATTTTAAGTGTCTCCGCAATCTCTCGCACCTTTAGCGTCCGGTCTTACTCAAACCAGTGCCTCGATATCATTCGAATCAACCTCGGTGGGCCGACCGCTGCGGGGTCCATCTTCAAGACTCGTATCTGCAGAACGAAATTTGGCAAACCATTTCTGAGCGGCACGTTCTGTTAAGGCATCGTCCCCGTATACGCCGCATATCTTTCGGTGGGCCTCCGCAGCTCGCTTGCCTTTCTTGAAGTAATAAAGCAAAATGTGCCGAAAATGCACCTTATTCTCCGACATGTTCACAGGCCTGTAGCACAAACAAAACTAATGCTAATGAAACCAAATTTGACAGATGAAAAGAGCGGACTGTCATCTTTCCAAAACATATTTGGATTGCCCGATTAGGCAACCAGAACCAGAGATATTCGGAAAAAATTTGCACTACTAACAAAAACCGAATGAATATATGGATCCACCCAACCTATATGTACAGTCAGAGTCTAAAAGGTTGCAACACTTTTTTTCGGTGGATTTCGGAATGCAGCTTGCTCCCCAAGCAATTGGTTCTTACTTATGGATCTATAAATAAAAATCAATCGCTCGATGAATAAGCTGCATTCCGAAATCCATTGAAAAAAGTGTTACAACCTTTTAGGCTCTGACTGTACATATAAATACATACCCAGACAGCACACAATATTTACAAAATATTTACAAAATATTTACAAAATATTTACAAAATATTTATAAATATTTATAAGATTTATTTTAAATATTTTGTAAATATATTTTTGTGGTCTCTTAGATTGCACAGATCATAAACATTTATTATAAATAATAAGAAATATTTATTGTAAATGTTATAGTAAAATACTGTGAAAATATTTAATGATATATTATAATCCAAGTAAAAAATACTTTTTAGAAATATTTATTTATGTTTATTATATACATTACATAAAATATTTGGTCTATATTTTAATAATATATTTCGAATAAAGCTTTATATATGAAATATATAAAGCTTTATTCGAAATATACATATATGAAATATCTATATAACATATCAAAAAATGAATATTAATAAATATTTATCATAAATATTCTGCTATCTGGGTATGAGAATAATTAAAATAAATACACTCACATTTTATACCATGTAGTTGATAGGTAAATTTTAGAAAAGCATGTTTATCTAAAGTTACGTCTATGTACCACAATCCATCTAATATGGCTGATGCTATGTCATAGAATTTCAATGGAGCATTATTCAAACATTGTGTCAAAACATTGCCAACCCTTTGACATAATTCACGAGTTTCTGCTGCAGTTTTGCGACATAGATTTAATCTGTAAATAGTGACAAATAATTAATGAAACTTATGAAGAATTATAAAATCAATATATATATTCACCAATTTGATCAGCTATATACTTATCACAAATATTCTGTGCTGTCTGGGTACATACATAAAAATTTTCACTTTCACGTTTCCGTCTTAGGGAAAAAGTTACTCAATACCCTGATGTTCTCTCTCAAGTTTTCTCTCTGGCTTTTCTCTTCTTTTTTCATGTCTTCTCTCTGTTATAAGGTATCGGGTAACAGAGAGAACAAATATATAATTAATATTTTATTTATTATTTCAGTGTCATATGCGGAATTAATTGTATATTCTCGCGACAATCCATTATCTGTTTATCATTTCATATCTTTATATAGACTGTACAATTGTACATACAAGATGAGCAACAAATATTGTATTAATAAAGCGCCTACCTTGCACAAAATTAGCCGTACGTTGTTATAAATTCTATATGTATAATATCTATGTCTGGGTTGTTAGAAGTCTTGAAGACGTCTTTTGTAATCTTAAAGACATTTTAAAAATAATTACTTTGAATTAATTGTCTCATAAAGAAGTCTCTCTCTCGCATTATTTAAATATTATGAGCACTGAAAAAGAGTCAATTGCTACTACAACTTGGTTTCAGTCTTTGGCGGTTACTATAAAAATTACAAACGTGTATAACGCTGTAGAAAATTTGTTTATTAAGAATGCGGGAAATACAAATTTAATTCAATTAAAATTTTACGTAAAATGTACGCGAAGAAAATATCACGGATAGAAATCAAATTTTCTAAGCTAAATAGATATATGTTGCGATTCTTTTATCCAAGAGCTACTTTTGTTCGATCGTACAAATTCTAATCGGCCACTTTCCTTCGTTGAAGCTCTTATCGTCGCGCGATAATATTTTTAAGATAACAATCGTTTTTATTGACGAAAAATTTCAATTGTGATCGTATCAAAAATCCATTCGCTCATCTTTTGTACGATTCGGCATTTTTCAATGTGAATCCCATTTCCGTCTTCTGCAAGACTAATTTAATTAATTGTAAATCATCTCCGATGCGGGTACGTTTGAGACACGGACGCGAGGGTGGAAATAGTTGAAACGGAAGTGTCATTTTTTTTCATGGGTACGGACGGTACGTGCCGTTCTCTCGACATTTCCATGTTTTGCTCTTGCGCTGCATTTATAGATGCGATTACGATGGAATACGGTGGAGGATTCTCGAATTTGTCCTCGCTGGATGGGTTGATGGTCGTTGACGTCTGAGCAGACCTCGATGTTCCCTGAACAGTCATCACAGACGCATAAGACGGTGGTAAATCTGGAGAAGAATGCACCGCGTATGCTGACGATCCTGCCTGCAAAATACGAACACGCAGAGACATAAATTTAGCTCCTTTCCTTTGCGACGTTAAGTGCCGCATCTTGTACTTTGATAGCAAAGCCTGCGGAAACAGATTTTGAGCATAAAGGCAACAAATTGTACAGAGTTTGTGTTATCTGAGAATAGGGAATTTTTGCAATAACGTGGATCCAGATACGGTGAACTAAAGTCATGTTATCCTTTTCTTAATTAGTTGTTAAGAAAAAGATAACCTGAACTTAGCGTTCACCGTATCTGGATCCATGTTATTGCAAAAACTCCCTATTGTCAGCAAATTACTGTCAGAAATATGACAAAGTCTGCTGGACATGCAGAAATCGAATAAAGTCTTGCATAACTTGACGGCAGATAAGAGTAGATTGAGAGCATAACTTGATTCGAGCAGATTCTGCTTGGTTTCTGATACCAATCTGCTGACATAGCCTGTCAGCAGGCTTTGTCGACAAATCCATAGCCAAATGCGGACACAGATGGCTATAGTTTTGTAGTCAAAATCTGATCGAGTTTGCTGCCAATTTGGTCCCAAATTGCTAACATTTTGCTATCAGGGAAAATTATACTTTCTCCTTATACGATTTATGATAAATAGATCTGGAGGTTTGTTCTTGAACTTATATCGCGAAAATTTACTCTTAAAATTTTTTAGAGCGGATTTTTACTCTAAAGAAAGTGTGACTTAATTTTCAATCTTTAAGAGTGAGATTTCATTTTTCAAAGTGAGATTCACTCTAAAAAAAGTTTTAGAGAGTACATAACGTATATTACAATATTTTCGTATGTAATATTTTTCAAGAATAAAATCTCTGAAAGATATTTAAAAATTTAAAATCGATCGGTTGAAAATAATAACTTAGTACCTGTCTGCGATTGGCAGTAATATCCGAGATAGTCCGAATCGCCGCTCTTTGTTGCTCGATCAGAATTCTCGCGTGAGTTCTTTTGACAGTATAAACGGTATATCCGCAAACCAGGAAGAAAAGTAGCGTCAATATTACCAAAACAACCCACATGTGTTCCCATTGCAGCAATATCGAGGCTATCATCGCCGTCGTCACCCATGCGACCAAGATAGTAGCCAGCATGCGGCCGGAGCAATCCGCATCCTGAATAAGTCGCATTATAGATATATGTATAGCTTTCGAGTCACGTGGATTCCCCCGTCTAATTGTAAGACGAAACGCGTGCTTGAGGTGTTTAGTTTTATTCCCTCGATAGTAGCGGTTCTGTGCTACTTTTCGTAGCAACGATTAACAATAAGTGGCTTAAACAAAGAGTCCAAGATCTCGATAGCGATCGGCGAACGAACGCTGATAGTCACCGCCGATTAGAAGTGTAAAATTATCGTATCAAATTGTAATGGATGGATAATCGCCGAGCGAATATTAAATTATCAGTAAGGCGGTATACATACCAACAGGATCAGAAAAAACATCTTGGATATGAGACAGTCGGAAAGGGAAATTTCCTCCTCGCAGTAAGTTATTAATCTACACGGCTTATCGCAAGCGTATACTACTTATTTACGGTGATAAATGATCCCGGAGTGGAGAGAGATACACAAAGTGTCGCTTTTCACATCTCATTCATGATCTTCTTGACGTGGATTTATTTTTAGAAAACTTGATTATTAAGGTAATATATTAATAGTCGGTAATACGATCGGATTTTTATGTACCGAACCTGTATCGATTTGTAAAGCATCGTATACCGTTCGAAGCAAGGTGTTCATATTGTTTTACAGCACACTAACGTTGCGTAACGGATCAGCGATATCTGAACGCAAACGAAAGTATTTAGACTCGTATCAACCCATCCGTTTATCCAGACGCTTCTGTTCCGAACGACTCTCGAATTTGTTCCGTTGGAACAAAACACTAGTACATATACGAGTCTCAATGAGAAATCCGATTCAGTTCTTGATGCAACTTCCTGCAGGTTGCATAACGCATGCAAATTGCCGTTTGCGAGCGATAAGAAATACTGGAAAATTATTTTAACGGTTAGGATGTAGAGTAAGTTCTTGCTAGAGTTCTATAACAGAGATTGGCCACAAGTGATTTTATATATATCAAAATCTTCGAGAAAGAAAGGTATGTACTTCTTTCCTGTTTTTAACTTATACTATTTCATTTTCTTAATCCTTAGTACACACGATTGGGTCATTTTTGCACATTTCTTTTCTTCGAAAAATTAGAAGCATCAAGTAATTAGTTATAACATTTTTCTTTAAATAAGCAACCTTACAAATATTTTATAAAGATGTTTAAGTATATGTAAGAATCATTAATAATTTTTGTATTTTTGTCAAAGTGATAAAAATTAACGGAACATGAATAACCTATTATGTGTACTAAGGACCGGAAAATCATCGTAGGTACTAAAGGTTAATTAAAATTATACAGTGAAATAGTACAAGTTAGAGTGAGATAATACATATACAGGGAAAAAGTATAATATACTTTTTTCTGTCAGATTTTGAGACAGGGTCTCTCGTCAATCGTGGCGAATGTTTGTTAGGATCAGACAGTGAGATCGCGAACGAGATATATATTTGTTACTCGATCGCGTACCTTGTATGTCGATCAATATATTAAAAACTCGCGATTATCACTCTCGATGCAATATGACGATCGCCCGGTGCGTTGTATCGAAGAATGCTTGCGATGAAACTGCAATTCCAAGTAGAATTATTGAGGCAGTTTTAGTCGTTGCAGCGTTAAAAACTGAAAAACAATAAGTTTCTACCTTTACGACGACTTAACGATAACTACGCGATAAGCGAATGTAGACCCCCTCAATGCCGTTCAGCGCGGTTATCATCTAACAATGACGTGTACCATTTTAACGCAGATAACGAGATGATATGCATAAATAGTTTAAATTTTTTAAAGTATGAAAAAGTTACACTCTGCAATAAAACACATTAGATAGGTCGTATACGGAATACACGGAGTGTACATATAAATATATACGTATATATAAAATGACGTAATCATGATTACGTTTGTGATATATCAAAGATCGTGTCGATTTAAATTTATAGCAGCAGGTACAATGTAATTTTCGCCATTTGCTATATATTCTACATTGTGATATATTTTACAATCCGAATGTCAGTCGCTATTTCAGAGTAGTCCGTATTGGGAAAGACAGTTCGCATACTATTATTTATGATAGATTGCGCGATATCAACGCAGTTGTCTTATCTTGTATTCACAAGTACGGTAATGCCCAAAAAGCCAGCTTGGAGTTTACCTTTAAGAATGACAGAACGAACGAGAGATGTTGCTTTTATTCAACGCGTCATCCGTTCGACAGTAAGTCTCTTTGTTAAGAAAAAAAATACATCGAAACATTTTTCATATACAATGTGCATGTCCTAACAGATTAATCTACGAAATGTACAAAAAAAATTCAACGCTCAGTTACATATCACAATTGTTAATCATATTTAAAAAAAAGATGCATATATAGTGTCAATCAAGGTCCAAATAAATTATCTCGATAAAAGTTTAACATTCGCTGGCGATCGCGTTAAAAATAATTATATTTTTATACTTGTATATAAAAAAAGAAGTATAATAATAATAATAATAATGATGATGATGATGGTGATGATCATTTGGACCGCGATTAAGATCTTCTCTTTTTGTACCGTTTTTCTCTTCTCCGTTTTTCTTCAGTCTGTTATTTTTATGCGTTTAACCACTCCCTAAATATAAAGTGATAAGATCTATGTCAATGGGCCGGGTCCGTTCGACATATATTATATGCCGAATACGATATCGCGCTAATTTCTTATTTCTAAGTGAAGACGATGAAGATACTAATGGGTAGTAACTCTAAGCAAAATTGTTTACAAATTTTCTAGAACATGCCAAATACACACGTCCTACCTTCATTGTTCAGAAAAAATGGGCCACGAAATCATGTCGCGTTGAGTCGCTCGACTAATAGAGAACGAATCGTTTGAGCAATTATATCGAGAGTCGTTTTCCTCGATTGTACAAAAATTCGTGGATGTAGATGTCGAATAGAAGGAACAGGATCGAATTAATGGCATTCGATAGAAGATGATAGGCTCTTGTTTAGGGCAATAATCGCGGATTAAAACGTCCCATGTGAAGTATTATACCGGAAGGGTTATGTCGAACGAAATATAAGAAGGGCCTATCGAGCTTCAACCTCGGTCTCTCCAACGATCCTGAGAGCTGCCTTTCCTCTCTATAGAATCCGTACAGAACCGTGCGCGATTGGTCTGCGTAAGAATCTATATTGTCCTTTTGCGGCAACGTGCCATATCTCATTGTATCCTCCTCAGCAGTGTTTCCGAAATTATCGTCCTCCGTTCGTCGTTCAACGTTTCTTCTTAATGGACTCGCGGGATACGTTTCCACGTGATGCCGGCCGCTAAGAATATTCTCGTCGCCACAGGTACTGAATAAATTCATCTGCGAAGAAAATTTATGATTATAAGCAGCGTTATCGTGTATATTGGGGGTATCGAGCAGACGGATGTATGTACCTGTAACACGTCGGCTAAGTGAAGACGGTGACCTACGCCGTTGATACCCTTAAAATCGGCGTTGCCCGAGAAGAGCTCATCAAGGCCCATCCTCTTCAAGGCGGCAGTCGCGTTGACAACGGATCTGTGACTGAATTTAGGCACCTGCAGCTCGAGACCGTGTCTCGGTATGAGAACTTTGAGGAGCTTGTTCCAGGCTCCGTCGCGGAACGCGCTTCTGACGAGGCGCTGCTCCAGACGATCCAGGGTATCGCCGGGTGCGGTGTGACCCTGCTGACCCGGCAACACGAAGATCGTCGAAACCAATTTGTCGCTGCCTCCAAGAGCGACCGCCGTAGCGTCGATGCTAGGTTCATAGCCGGCTAAGACACCCGATCGCCAAGTCGTAGCTGGGACCGGTACGAGTTTCCTTTGTCTGACAGCCGGCGAAACGGCAAAGTACAACTCGCCGTCCCTACCAACGGAACTTGTCAGACTACTATTACAATCGGTCTGGAATACGTTGGCGGAGAGTGCCGCCAAAGGTGATCTGAGCGGCACCGTGTTCGTCTTAACGAAGTCCTTGATTCTACCGCCAGTCTGCTTCCTAACCAGCAGATTCGTTCTTCTGCGCACGAGATCGCTAATGGTGGCGAAATTCACTTCGGTCACGAGGCCTTCGTAGAATTGCTGGGCCTGCTCTTTGTAGAAGGGCATGAGTTTTCTGACCTTCATTTTGTCAGCGAACAACTCGCGGACGAAGGCAGCGTTCGCGATACCCTGGCCACGAGCTAAACCTACCGCGTCGGTTATGTTTTGGAAAACCAAATGTGGATTGAACGTGGCCACGTCGTCCAGGCCGAGTACCTCGTTCATCTGATCGGACGTCGGACCGCGAGCACCCAGGAAGATCATCGCCAGTAAGCTGGTCATACCGAACGGCGAGAGTGCCAACGATCTCGCGGTGCTCAGACCCTTATTAGTGGCTACCCAGAAATTGAAGGCCAGCTCGTTGCATAGCTTAGCGAAGTTTACAATATCGGCGCTCGTGTGTCTTATGGTAGCGTCTAAGCCGGTTGCACTCTGAGATGCGTCCAACGGTAGGAAGGACTGCGTCGAGGATTGTGGTTGTTCTTGCTGATGTATCGGCGCTTCGACTCCTGGAGAACGAACGTTGGTGCTGTCATTCGAGTTGGAAGGCGGTAACGACGACGACGGAAACGTCTGGGCGTGATTGATCGGTTTCCTCTGCAGTGGCTTCGGCAGTTTCGGCGGTTTCGGAAGTTTCGATATGGCCGGCGAAACCTGTTGCGATATAAGCATCCACTTGTCCTCCGCGTTTACATCGGCATCAGTCTTCGTGATGTCGGGTTTTTCCGACGGTTTGTAATCAGGCCTCGACGTTTGACGGACCGGGACACTCGACGGTGGCGTCGACGCTTGCAAATGTATCACTTCCGGCTTCGGCAAACTTTCAGAATGTTTCAAAGAGGCAGTCTTATCCGTATTATTCGAATTCTCGTCATTCTGTATTGATGCATTCATCGTTGATGTGGTCTGTGCCACATTTTTGTCAATCTGATTTGACGTATTATTGACAGGGTTATCATACCAAGAAATATTCCCCTTATTTCCATTTGCATCGTTCGTTGCATCTTGCGTTATTTTGATCGAGCTATTGGTATGCTCTTTAATTGATACAGAAGAAGATTCATTATTCTTATTATCTTCTTTATTCTTGATGTTATCTTTGATCTTGTAGCCAGATATACTAGTAACGCGATTTGAATTCTGTAAAAGTGCAGGATCGGTAGAATTTTTGTATGATAGCACGATAGCACCGTCAGATGTAACATTCGAAACGGAGGTGTTCGTTATAACGTTATTGTATGTTTGTGAACTCGACTCGGAGCTCGAATCGTTAATAGAGTGAATCACTACGGTCTCCTTCGTTATTGACGAAGTATTTGCGAAGGAACCGTTCTTTTCGTTTAATGCCTCTATTTTCGGACTGCTTTCCGCGTGTCCTGAGTTTTTGGTTACATTCGCGACTTTTACGGATAACTGATTAGATAGTTCGGGACTTAGGTTTGTCCTCACAATAGGTGCTTCCGTCGTTTTTATTTTCTCCTTGATTTCCGTTTTCTTCTGATTGTTATTTGTATTAAACGTAGTTTTGTTGACGCCTGGCGATCGAATATCAACATCTATCGTTGTCGTCGTTGTCGTCGTCGTCTGTTCAGGAATTACACTAACGATTCTCACGGTTGTTGCATTCTGCTTAATAGCAATCTTTGATTCACTATTGACATTTGTGAATTTATTTGCTGGCGATGATAAAGATGCTTTCGTGGCATCGTCTATTCTCTCATTACTACTTGACAATTTAGTCGGTTCTAGAGTATCATTCGACTTTTTGGTCTGCGTTAAAGTACCGTAAATTAATGTACCGTTTCGAACTGGATCCGTTAATGTCTCTTGCGTTGATTGCGTAACGTTTCTTTCCATTTCGTGTAATTTAGTGACGTTTTCGATTTTTTCTTTCTCGGTGGTCGATAAATTCGATGCATTCGTCGAAAATCCGGCGATAAGGCCACTTGCAATATCGCCAACTATTTCACTAACGAAATTCGATATATTATCGGGTAAATCAATCGGCTTTATTGTGGGAGTGCTGGACGGTAGTGGCGCGATACTTATTACTTTGTCGATAGCAGACACTGGATCGCTCAAATTCAAATTCGCGAGAGTGTCGTCGAAATTTTCATTAGTCGTCGTAGGCTTATTTGAAGATAGATTTGTGTCGATCGACGCGGTTGTTGATTGCGTTTTGGTGGCATCAGACGCTACTGCTTTAGTTAAATTAAAAAATGAAGTAGTCTTTTCTGATATAATTCTTTCGGTGATACTTCCAAGAGTCGCGGGACTTTCAGTCTGACTTGCCGGCAAAGAAGCAGCTGTAGCATGTGTCTTCTCGAGCTGCACGAACGAAGATGCTGTTGATCCCGAAATCCCTACATGAATTTGAGTCGATTTAAGTCCAGCTGGCGTTGTAGGTAAATTATTGCTTGTTATTTTATCACTCGTCGTTCCGACTTTAGTCGAAGCTGTCGATGTCGTCGTTTTAATCCGAGAGTTCTCGGAAATGCTGCTCGTGCTTGATTCTCTGTCCACCGTGTTGACAGGCCGATAAGTGATGGAATAGTCGACGAACTTGGTAATAGTGTCTCGCAACGGAATTTCGGTAGCAAAGGTTTCATAAGTTTGCGTATTAATGATAGGTCTGACATTCTTTTCGTTTACCTCGGACACGTTGCGCCTCTGCTCGTAATTAATATTCATGATCGGTATCTCCGGCGTTTCGTTCGATGGGGACGAGAGGGGTAAGACGGGTGGTTTCACTTCCGAAACTTGATTTATTACACTTGAAAAGGAATCGATTAACTGCGTGGGTAACGGTTCTATCGATGCCGAGGATTGAATCTCGGTCGGCAGAGGATTAAAATAAGTCGATGTAGCCGGGCTTGATGACTCTTTTGTAACCGTTGAGAAGCCTTCGCTAAGATAATGATGCAACGAGACGGTCGGGGCCTTGATTCTCGTAACGGAAGCGAGCGTAGACGGTGAATGCGGCGCGTTAGATGCCTCCTCGGGTTTCGGAGACGCGTGGGAAATTGGCACTAGGGTAGCGAGGGTATTGGTTTGTGGGATTATTATGTCATTGTATGTCCCGTTCGTTTGAGATTCTTTCGTAACGCTAGATGCGAATGAAGAATCGTCAGATACCTTCGTATTGTTCCTGCTCTGTACAAGAATGTAACTCGCGTTCGAGGGAGAGATCTTGTCGGTCGTCAACTCGCTGGACCCACCGTGCGTTACAGTCTGTTTCAAGGAGGAGAAATGCGTTGATACTTCTGGCGTGGTCATCGAGTAAATTGCCGGGGTTTTCATTCCTTGACTGACTTTGTTAGTAGTCGTCTGCTTCGTGATACTTATGGGATACATGTCTAAGCTCGTTAATTGCTGGAATGTCGTTTCTTCGGGCACCTCCGACAGAGTTAATTCGACATATTGTTCCGTTTGACTTTCCTCGGTCTGAGCAGACAGCAGGATAGTCGAACTCGCGGCACTGGTACCAGCTGTAGACGGATCGGTCTGACTTTCCTTAATTCCAGCATTCTCGACCGGAATTACGCTGACTATTTGGAAGACGGGACTTTCGGTAACGGCGGATTGTAATGTGGACAACTTTTGTTCCGTTAGGGTAATAACTGGAACTGGAATCATCGGTTTCTCGGTAACTGCCGTTTGCTGCGAGTGATGGCCTTGATGAGGTTTCCCCTGCACGTTATTAGTAAAACCAGCGTACGCATTCGTCTGAACGTCCAACGTCACAGGTCTTTTTGTCGAATATTTCGATGTCGATTCAGCTTCTACCTTTTCGGTCGTCAGTTTATGTGACACTTGATCGCTGTTCGGGGGAATCGAGTCTGTCTCACCAGATAGAATTGAAGGCAAAATATTGCTCCATTCAACGTTGGCGTGTTCCGGAATCTTCGGTATCAAACCCGTTAAAGTCGGTGGCTTATCGAGTGCGCTCTTTAACACGTTCTGTACCTTTTGTACCACATCCATGACCTAAAATGCGACGTGGAATGTGTTAAATCTGTAAACGAAGGAGTGTGACTATTCCGTTAGTTCCTATCGCTCGTTTATTTGCTTTTATTTGCTTCGTTTCTATATCTAAATATAATCTAATATTTTTATAAATCTGTATAACCGATATTATACTCTCTTTTATTAATATTGAATTGTCAAAAACAATTTGCACGAAAAATATTTATTTAATCCGATCTTAAAATGAAAATATGTAACGTAATTACTAAAATAAATTTGAGGCCTAAATTCATAAAAAAGGGCAAAGATAATACGATGTTTATACTGATTTGTTATACTTCGCCTTAAAGTTAATTAATTATTTAAAAATTATTATTTAATTAGTAAAAGTGAGAAAGTTCCAAGTCCGGATCTATAATAGATTTTTAAGCCTTAAGTCAGAAGAAATGGACGAATCGTAATCAATTATTCTCCTCGCATTTCGACTATAATTGATCAATTTCTTACGGCTTAAAGCATAAAACACCTATTGTAATCCCGACTAATACAATCTATAGTGCAAGAATAAAAAACAGACCTTATGATACTAGACAAGAGACAAAAGACGCGAAACAAGTGACGGTGAACCGACCTTTTTGCCACCCGTTAGGACATCATCGGCTTTTTGAGGCTCCTGTCTGTCCATCGCGATGTGATCCGTCCCACCTGACGCGATAAGACCTTGAATTTCCTGAGCGGTCATCTGCCGCGTAATCATATCGCCCTTGTCGTCGTAAGTATAAAACTGAAACTTGTCGGGCCGCAAAAGTCCGGCCGGAGAAGCGACCAGTTTGTGGCTGGACTGCGTCTCGTTTTTGCCGTTCGGAGAATGATGCGCGCGTCCATCGTGGTTCTGACGGATAATTGTTGAAGTGGCCGTGCTGTAAACATACGAACGAAGGTACACCCAGAATATTATCATAGCCCCTGCCATTTCGATGTATTAAATTTTAATCTAAGGATTTACGTAAATTGAACGCGACACGTAACATGATCGAGATGTAATAAACGTGCGAGACAGACACCGGCGAAGTATCTATTCGTTCATTCTCACGTGGAGATTCTCTCACTTGCTTCTCAGCGAGCTTGTTACTTGAATTTAAGTGATCCCGATAGAGAATTACGACAACGATGGTGTCTATCAACGAGAAATCTACATCGAACTGATAAGAACGAAGGTTCAATGCGAGCACGCAATTTTCCTAATTAACTCGCTCGTTAAGATCAGTAGACCGTCTGACAGCACGGGAACTAAACCGCGGTTTCTAATAAGAGCCGACCGTGTTTTTCATTCATCTTCCCTTCCGCATTCTCCATCTTGTCTTTCCCAGACGAGGCGCGATTTTTATCTGAATCTACTGTTCGTATTATCTCATAACATCCACGTTATAAATGAAATCGTGTTGATTACGTTGATGCATTGTTTCGCTGGTACGTATTGTTCTAAATCTGCATTTACCGCACAGATTTATGTATTTTATGTACGTGCACGCGTGCGACGCACAATTTAAGTAAAAATTGAATTGGAATCTGTGGCGTGATACTGACCTAGGATCAAACGTATCCGCAGACACGTGCGAATGTTCGTTGTGAGCCGGTAAAGCCACACCTAACTGCAGGCTCATCCAAGACACGATTAATGCCGGCAGTAGCCAGCGCAATCGTTGCGACATGATAATTCTTGATTCTCTGAAAACGGGAACATATTCCGAGACTGAGAACTGCAGTTACATACATTCCTGTACAAAGTTGTTGTTTTTTATTTTCTTTAATATTTAATAGCATCTCCTTAATATCGAAGTCTTTAGAATGAAAAGGTGATCGAGAATAATGATTTTCAGTCACACAAATTAAAAGTAACATAATATTAATATTACAATGTCGTACTCAACGATACGAGTGTAATTTAACACATGGCGTTGCATAACAGTTGATTGTTGAGTGCGAAATTATAACGTTGATGATATTACTTTTAGTTGATGTCGACTGGGTAAATCATGGAGAATTTAAAAATCTGTGAATCTAAAGGAAATAAAACGTTTACGCATTGTAAGATCCAGTACACGCGTTAGCCAAATAACGCGATACGATAGCGTGAGAATAAAAAGAAACGTGAGGAAAGGAAAGAGAGATAGGTCACCGAACCTTCCAATTTTTTGCTGGTTGTTGTTATACATATCGGTAACCGGTTTTACATTGCCCAGTTACCTCCAATGCTTCGCATCGATTTCAATGCCTAAATCTGAGGGTTGATCTCACAATTAACACGCTTTGGATCCACGAAGATCTCCATATCTCGATAAGATAATCGCGAGTATTAAATGCGAGGCGTCTAATCCTTCTCTCTTTCTTTTCTTCCCACATACCGTATTCTCGAATAATTCGAAAGACGTGCAAAAGTCGACAGGTTGTCGCACAATTCCTTAAGTTGCACTCACACTTTGCAAGCGAAGGTAGACTCCCTGGAAATGTCATTTAATCCCGTCGAGAGGAGACGCGATCCCCGTCAATGACTCCGGTGCAACAACTCGATGATTAGCTGCTCGACACCACAGACGTGTGACAGTCAGCGAACTCGCGATACTCGCCGATAAAAAGATAAAAAGAAAAAAAAACGTCGGACGTTTGACGAGTATCAGGCGATCCCTCGATGCTCGAATCCCTCTCGCGAGAACGCGCCAGTCGATCCCTTTTCCCCTTTTTCTACTCCTTCGCGTCTGCCTTCTCTGTCTCTCTCCTCTCGTTCCCTTCCTCCCTTCTTCGTTAAGGGATCAAGGACGTTTAGCAGTTGAGACTATTTTGCGGTCGACCTTGCTGTCAGACTCGCCGGTGTAGCGACCTCGGCGATGATTACGGAGCGCGTTCCGCGAAACTCCTCCCTTTTCTTATCCACAGGGCCCTTATTTCTCGCGTACTCCGCTCCCTCTTGTATATTCGCTCCGCTCCGCTTCGCTTCGTGCTCGCGCTTGACACGACTCCGAGCGGTCCTCTTCCTACGCCACGATCGTCTGTTCCGCTTCTTCTGCCGTCTTCTACCCTGGATAAACACGTACTGCAAGGTAGGATCCTTGGCTGGTACGAGCGCAGCGGAACAAGAAGCAGAAGAGATAAGGAGGAGGGGAAGACCGCACTCCTGGAGGGTAAGACAGAGAAAGGACTCGGCCTCTCTCGCCTCTCTCGCCTCTCTCGTGAGAGAGACGTCGCGCGTCGCCGTCGGATGGACGGAGCGAATTACGCGGAAACAGGTGACCGCGCGATGCACGTACGCAAGCATTCTTTTCTATCGAGCGTAAATCGTCTACGATTTCGAGGGTACGATGATTAATTAGAATCGTGTAGAATTTTATATCACGTGATTATATCTTGTTCCCCTCTTCCCGCCCCCCCCCCTCCCGCGTTGACTTTTGTCATTCAATCAACATTGCTGCTACGAATCTCACCCGAAGATCTCATCAGCGCGGCGGGACGAGAGGAGGCCTGCAAATTTTTCTCAAACGACAAACGTATCCGCGCGCGTAAGCCAGACCGACGATTCACGTCGATTAACGGTACATCGACCGAATGAGTCGCGTATGTGACGTATGAAATTGCGAAGGAACCGACGGCGGGTCGTGCGGGGATCAAGGAACGTCGCAAAAACGAGGGATTTTGGAGAAAATCTCTCTCGGAGTCTCGGAGATATTGGATTCGCAATTAACGCTGATTTATCCCGACATCGAGTCGCGTGAAGCGTGCGAGCGCGAGCGCATCTTTCACGATCGAGCCGCGTACAACTCATTCTTTAAGCAACTCATTCATAAGTGAATCAATCGCGGTCCGCGGCGGCCCCGGCCGCTCGGTCGGAATAAATTTCGGACATGTCCCCTCCGACTCTCATCTTTCTCGAGCGAGCGGGGGGAGCTCGTTACGGTGCGACAATCACATACGGAAAGAACGATTTTGCTCAAGTATCTAAAAATTTAGTTATATATATATATATATATATATACAGTGAGTAGAAAAAGTATTCGTACAGAGAAAATATTTTTCAAAAAAAGTTTATTTTTAAAAAGTAAATATTATCCAGCAAGAAATGAGTCATCAAATTCATGTTGAATCGATATCAATACGATGATTTCAACATCAATTTGACATCGGTTCGACGTTTAATTGACGATCACATTTTTTGTTGAGTAATTAACAATTTATTCATAAAGAATAAAATAAACTGTATATTTCTTAAAATTATATATACCAAAAAGATGTGTATTAATTACAGAAAATTTATCATCTGAAAAATAAGCGAAAATTAAAAGTTGTATTGTTTGGATACTCAAAAGGTATTCGTACAGTCGAGAAATTTAGCTTCTAAAATCAAGAATACATGCAAAGCTCGTTTGTTTATGTTAGAACAGAATGTATTCATTGTATAAAATTGCTAATTAATGTTTATTTTCTACAAATAAGATTTTTTTTATAAAAAATTTTCTTATACGATTACTTTTTGCTTTCACTGTATATAGATACAGATTTGAAAATAATTTTTTTGGATTATCAAAATAATTACGTAACACTCAAATTGGTTGCTAAAATATCCAAACTTTTTATAGTATCGCTCATCATGCTTGAGATTCCTACGTAACTATTTCGATGGTCTAACAAAATTATTTTTAGATGCATGTATCTAGCTAAATTTTTACACAGCAAAGATGATTTTGCTGAAATATCTAAAAATTTAGATAGATACAGATCTGAAAATAATTGTATTGGATCTCTCTCTCTCTCGTTAAAATAATTATGTAGGACGCTCAAATTGGTTGCTAGAATGCTCAAACTTTTTGCGGCATGTATATCGTTCATCTTGCTTGAAATATCGTAATTATTTTAATGGTTTAACAAAATTATTTTCAAATCTCTATCCGACTAAATTTTTAGGTAATTCGGCAAAATCGTTCTTTCCGTGTAGAGAAGAAATTATACATGATTGCTGCTCTCAGGTCAGAGTAGAGCGAGGTAACCGCGAAAAACGATAGACTTAAGTTTGACAGCGATCGCGCTGTCGGGGAGACGGACGAGCTCGCGAGAAACCCGTTTTCTCGCTTCTTCGCGCGACTACGTCTGCTTGAAGTTTTCTGTGAACGTTGAACACGCGCGGGTTAATAAACAGCCGTCCCACTTGCACGACTGTCCATCCGTAACCCACTGTTTACCAAGACAACGGTACCGCGCCAGGCCGCGCCGGATTAAGGTTTATCCAACGGTTTACCTATCGACAAATTTAACGTCGAACGGCGGGGGGGGGGGAGGGAGGGAGACCCCCGGGAGGAGCGGCACGGGAAAGGGGAACGCGAGAACGAGCGCCGGATATCTTACTCCGTAAACCCGACCTATTTCCTCGATATCGCCGTTCTCGCGTCGCCCCCGGCACGCGCGATGATTACGATCGAATTCGCAGATGGACGATTCAATATCGGTCTTTCTGAAATTTCATTTCCGTTCGCCAGCAAGAGGTCCGTGATTATTTCCAGCTTTCGTTCGATTCTCGTTGCAATTCCGACACTGGGGAACGTATCTCCCTTCGGCGCGTACGCGAACGCGATAACGATCAGGTAGAAACAGGAGAGAAAGAGAGAGAGAGAGAGAGAGAGAGAGAGAGAGAGAGAGAGAAAGAGAGAAAAAAGAAATGCAAGTTCGCCAGTACACTTACGAGAAATTCTCAGGTGCGTGAGAGATTCTCCAGCGGTATGGCAGAGGTGTCACGCTCGGCTGAGCTAACACGACATTCCAGATTACGTATATAAGCCTGGAATCGTTGCTCCCAAGGGAGCATCGTCCTGAAACGGTTGGCGTAATATCGCCGCCTTCTATGAACACGGCGAATTATAATCGGACGTCATAATAGGAATGTAATCGACGCGTAAAGTGTCGGGGATCTTTCACACTTACGCGCGATCGTACTCAGTTTCATATTCGACCGTACGATGCGAGTTGAAAGGACATCATAGGAAGGTCGATACTTGGTGATCGTATTTCACCTCTCACACGAGTGCTTTAGGACCGATATATATATATATAATTGGTTCTTATATCTAAGATCGTCTTAAATACAGTCTCGAAATGTTATAAGCCAATTAAAACTATCTTAAGACTGTTACACTTAGATAGTCTTAAAATAAGAACGGCCTAGGTCTGCTCCATCTATTGCTTTTTGATGGTCACGATGTTGCGTGGTATCTTCTCGACCGCGTTTCACGAGGTTGCGAATGTCGAGAGGACGAATCTTAAACGGACAGATCGAGGTTCATCGCGCGAAGCGACGTGCATCTCACGCGATACCCCGACCAGCCGGCGGTGTCGAGCGCGTGAAAAACTTGAGAAATATATTCCTCGGTGTATACCGGAATGTACCACTTTTCGACATATAACAGTAGTATATGCGCGGCACGATGTAGAGACACCGAAGTTTCTCTCTCTTTCTCCCTTTCTCTCTCTCTCTCTCTCTCTTTCTCATAGAAAAATACGGCGAGAGACATAACGGTCCTCTTCTCGCCACCTTTGTGTCCGGTCGTGTTACGAATACTATAACGTACACGACCGGCGCCCGCCGCGCCGTCCGCACATAGCCTCCGAAATCTGATTTAGTTACGCGCGCAGGTTATAGAGGAAAGACGAGGAAAAAAAAAGAAAGAACGCGCAACGGGGTGTCGGCAGTCTATCGCTATTCGTGAATTCGACACACGCGTGTCCCCCACATGCCGTCCCGCCGTTTGCACGCAGTTTGCACGCCGTTCGCATGCATGTCCCCGGCGACTACGAGCCGACCGAGATCATCCGGAATACCAGGCAACGAGGCCATCCTGTAAGGATAAACCCGAGTCCCGGTTCGAACGTTCGGTCGTTTGGGGAGGAGAATGGGAGAAGCCGAGACATTCGGGCGCGCTCGGTCTCTCGTAGTCGTTCCCCATTCATCTCGGCCGTGCGAATCCTCTTTACTCGTAGCCAATGATAATAAAGTGGCGCGATGAGCGATAAAAAGAGGAGATCGAGTTCCCCGGCAGCACTTAGGGCGCGAACTCCGATTAACTTAATCGGCGATTAATCTATCCGATGGAATTAATAGCACGGAACGCTTAAAAGAAAATTTTCAACTATGCAGTTGCTTGCCCCTAATTTAATCCTTTTTTCCATATACGTCAAGTAATAAAAAATTAATAATGTTCTATCCACTGTGCTACTTTAACAGAATGACAGGTATTACGTGATAAGTTGATCGCCGATTAAATTAATCGAAACTTGATCGTAATTACCCTAAGAGCTACTCCAACTAAACTTTGATTAACTAGATCGGCGATTAAATGGAATTGGAGTCAATCTTAACAGCTACAGAAGCGTGACGCATCATGTCGAGCATGACGATGGAAAACGATGACAAAAAGGCAGACGAAATAGAAATGTTGCGAGAAATACAATTTGTCACCGAAAGCAGATATGAAGGAACGTGGAATGCGATCGACAAGACAGGCATCGGCAGATATGTCACGCCTTACAGTTAATCAATTTAAGCTTTTTTTCAAAAGCTAACGTTTCTCACAAATACGAAAAGCAATATGGAATTATAGGATCTCTGTATGGAAAGAATGATTTTGCTAAATTTAAGTAACTGTAATAAATTTAGATACATAACAATCTGAAAATAATTTTGTTGGACCACTAAAATAATTAGGAGATTCAAATCTGAGGAGTGTATTACAAAAAATTTTGACATTCTAGTAATCAGTTTGAACGTCCTATACAATGTAATTATTTTAATAATCTAACAGAATCTGTTTTCAGATCTGTATCTAGCTAGATGTTTAGATACTTAAGCAAAACCGTTCTTTCCGTGTAGAATCATAATGTCGCACCGACTAATTAGCGCTGATTAATTCTATTCTTGTTTATCAGAAGTCGTGTTAGAGGGAGAATTCCGGGACGGCATGCTTCATGGTCGTGGAAGTATGTACTGGCCACGTGGGCAAAGAATGGATGCTATTTGGAATCGCGGAAAAATGGTGCAAAGACGCTATACGTTCGCAGACGGTTTATCGTATCGAGAAAACGATTGGGATTATTGCGTATATCCCGATAGGCGGTTAGCATCAGATTCTTAAAATAGCAGCTAAACGAGAATTCATCCCGCGTATTCATGGATAGTAAAAATATTTCAGATTTTATAACTGCATAGTGAATGGATTGAAACCAGCCGGAGAAGTACTGAAAACCAATGACCAGCCCACCAAGATTATTCCTCCCTACTGCTACGACACCGGTGCTGGAATGTTCGATCCAGATAGTAATTGCGTAACATCGTATCGCAATTGCAAAAAAGTAAAGATATCTCTCGACGGTGATAAAGATGTAAACAATACGTGTCTATTTATTCTCGTGAAGGACAAGATGTAGGTTTAAATTTAATAAATTACAAAGATGCTCAAGATTCCAACAGCGATAGAAAGTGCATGGATAAAAAAAAATTGCCGAAAAGGCTGGTCAGAGCCGACTAGCCATCAGGAATGGTTGCATGAATATTGGTATTCGGGAACGGCGGATTTTGCAACGTTACCACGTGTCTCGCAAGATGATGAAGCGGGAATTTGGTGGCAAAGGTACAAATACAAATATTTTAAATAATTTAAAATAATATAATCATAAAACAATGAAAGAACAAGGGCAGTAGGAGTCAAGCGCGGGAGATGTTGCGCAAATAACACGACTATCGTAGCGTGAAACTTCTTTATTTTACTAAAGCGCTTTATTTTACTGAGCGCTTTAGATATAATATTAAATATTTAATGGAATATATATATATATATCATAGTTAATTCTTGTTTTAATTATACTATTTAAGACTGACAAAATTTGCCAGACACTCGTTCGCTGACACGATGAATAAAAATTAATACAATTGTGCTTAATACAACGATCAAAAAGTTATAGAAAAAATATAGATTGGAGCAATTAAAAATTAATACAATAAGTTAAAGTAACATATACAATTACATAGAATATATGTATAACAGTACAACTATTATTAAAATTATCGCCGCAAACATACTTATATTAAATACATATTTCCTAAATGTAATATCTTAAAAATATTCATTACATAACGTATGTATTTATACTTTTCGACATATGTTGAAAGCATAAAACGCATTTCCTAACCAATAACGAGTTCTTTCTCTTCAGTCACAACTGTTGGCGCATCTGTTTTACGTTGTACGTTGAACAATACCGACAGCTTTAGTGGTACACACGTGTCCACTGTGCAAGCCATTATGTTTAATATGACGGGCAATTGATTGCGCGTTTCTTCTTCAGGAAGTTTCACCGATATAGGAGTTGAAAGTCTACCCGTCAATGATTTCGCCGTCCACGTATTTGCAGGTAAAGACACCTGCCATTCTTGCGGTACGTCTGCATTTAATTTCAAATCGTTCGTAAATACGATATTAAATGAAATATTTAGTTCTCCACCGCGTGCATTTACTGTCGTATCAAAAGTGAATACATTGTCAGCATTTCTATTCGAGTCACGTCTGGATATGATAACCATCTGAAAAATAAAATTAAGGAAGTTTATGTTAATCTTTCATGATTCATAAAACAAAGTTATATTTTCAAAGTGATTCTGTTAGACTTCTAGAAATATACTTACGGTTGAAATCTTCTCATTTTTTAAATCAATAATTTTAAGAACATGATTATTGGTATCTGCTACGTAAAGAGTGTTACCGTCTGGACTAACAACAAGGCCACTCGGTTCACTGAACTGAAAAATTATTTTAACAATTTAAATAATTTTTGCAAACATTTTTTATAAATTGCTGCCTTTTCAAAAAATATATATATAACTTACGATAAATGTACGATCGGGTTTTTTGTCGCCAAATAATGTCTTGCAATGCCCCGTCATAGGATCTACGCTTTTAATTTTATGATTGTAAGTATCGGCCACATAAATTTGTTTATCCAAATGATTCCACGTTACACCTAACGGATGTTGAAGTTTAGCCAAACGTCCTTTTCCGTCTACATCTCCAAACGCATGTAAGTTCTACAATGCAAAATGATTCTAAAAATTCTGATAAAATAAACATCACATTGATTTACTGCTGATATTCGAACAAAAGCTGACGCTTGTTTATTGAACAAATTGATTAAAGCTTATTCATATACACAAATGCAAGGTGAGAAAATAAATGGAAACTATTTGTTATTGAACGAACCGCTGGATTTTTATCTCCTCCGCAAACAGCGGATACTTGTCCGCTATCTAAATGCAGCTGTCTGATAGAACTGGTTTCGCTGTCCGCCAAAAACGCAATTTTACATTCCTGAACGATCGCAATGCCAGAGGGTTGTGCTAGTCCCGCGGCATGAGGATAACTGTTGTTGCGATTTTCCTCTTGTCCACTTCCAACGATAGCAGCGCATGTGCCCGCCGTGTATTTTCTAAAATACGGACATTCACGTATATTTTCGTGTTGTATGTGTGAATTATAAAAAATTAAAATTCATTATTAAATTAAATGTTCAAAAATCACATTTAAAAATGTATAACGTGAAGATGTCATAATGATTATATAAATAATCTCTCACTTTTCCTTCCACCAAATGGTATCTTCTAAAAACAGTGCCCAGATCTGATGGGTACCCGCTATGGCGATTAATAAGATTGGCACCGTGGTGCCTTTATGTTCGTGATGATAAATTGCCACATCCCAAGGAGACGATAAAATTTGATCAGTGCCGTTTTTTCCACCATTTTGATCGCGACCTTGTGAACCGGTACCGGCTATGGTGGATACGATTTTGCTTGCCAGGTCTATCTAAAACGTGATTAACATCGAGATTAAATATAGCGAATCAACGTACAATAATAAAAAATGGTACTTTTACTTACTTTTCTAATAGCATGGTTATTATTGTCCGCAACGTAGATTATATTATTTAGCACACAGACTCCTTGAGGTGAATTGAATCTAGCGTTTTTAAAATCGCCATCTTTAAAACCCTGGTTGCATCCACCTATAACATGTTCCACTCTCCCGTGCTCATTTGTAATTACAATCCTATTGTTACCACTATCAGATATGACTAACTTCGTTTCTTGTTCTAACTGAAGAACCGTTAGTTTGCCAGGAAATAGCAAATGATCTTTAGAAAATGATGGTAAAAGATGATGCGCTAGCTTTAGTGGAAGATCATGATTTGATATTTGTTTTGAGGTTTTAAAATAAGCTATTGCTATTTTTGTGTATAATAATATTTCATCTTTGTGATTTTCACCCATAAAAACAGCCAGTGGTTGACCATTAGGTCCTGAAATAAATTTAAACACAGCTGTGACAATAGGAAGTTTTCACAAATAATATAAATGTAAACTATGTAGCTGTTAGGAAAAAAAGCAAAGGAATCGTATATTATTTCATACCTAACATTATCAGGCTAGGCCAACATATTATTCCCATATCACGCCACATTCTTAACGTTACATCATTTACCACAGGATGCATGATATTATATCTCTGTACAGCAGATAAGACATTCTTGGAACTGCGCTCGTTTGTAAATTTTGCGCTATGCACTCCGATCTAAATAAAAGAATTATTAGTCTCAGATAAAATCTTATCCAATGTATGTCTTTAATTTCTAGAAAAGTTCTTTCTTGTAATAAAATATGTTACTAATTAATGTATACTTACTACCACGAGACCATCCTCTACAGAGATTTTCTTTTCGACTTCTTTCAGCTCGGCCAAAACATGCATGCAATTAATGCAGCAATATGTAAAGAAGTCCAAAAGCACAATTTTTCCTTTTAGCTGCCCTATTGACAATCCTTTGGACACGTTAAACCATTCCAAGTCTGTATAATACATATATTCATTAAAAATTATAACGATAATAACTATTAATCATTTCCTGCAGATCCATTTATTTCTAATTAGCTTTTTACAAAGTACCCAAGTAGAACTATAAGTCACGATAATGAATTGTTGCTAATTAAAAAATATCTTCAGTGTAATCATTTTAGAACCATTTGGACATATTAATGACTTAATTGTTCTGCTTAGGTAAATACTGAAAATTAATTTACAATGACCATGACGATTGTTAGCCATTTTTTCTGCAACAGATAACTGTCATTTATTTCTAACTGGCTATTCGCAAAGTGATAAGGAAGAATGCAGGGAACTTTTTTATGAGAGCCAGTACCTTTTGGGAAATCATCAATTGTTCCGCTGTTTTCAAAGCGCTTGATATGCTTTAGGATTAAGATTTCTTTTTCCCTCTGTTCCAAATCATTCAGATGGAAGCGCATTTGAATGCAAACCTGCATCAGCTCCTCCACTACTTCTTGCGTATCCATGTTTTTGTGTATTCCGCACATCGAACGATCTAAAATCGGTATAAAATTCTTATTATTATTAGTATAAAATTCCTCGAGCGATCGAGACCGTTTATTACACACGCACTTGCGTTACTTGCAATACTTGCACACTTGTATTAATTCCACAGATTTCTATAGAAATCTGTGATTAATTCGGAACGTCACTCTCTCTCTCTCTCTCACCCTCCTTGGGTGCGTTCCAAAATTCACTCCGAGTAACTCTAAAGAACCCGGGGTAGTGGGGGAAAGAGTAAGTCAGAGTACGTTACTCGAGTTGACAAATTTGGAACGTGAAA